CTCTTGCTCAGGCTGTTTTCGAACTCCTGACCTCGTCGGCCTCCTGGAGTGCTAGGATTACAGGCGTGAGCCACCGTGCCTGGCCTATTATTTTTCTTGTCATTATTGTGATTTTATTACTAATCCTTTCTTTAAACTCTCCATCACGCAACTTAAAAACATGTACTAATACAAAGGCGCAGACAGAGAGCATCATAGTCAGCTTCCGGATGCTGCCACAGGTACAAACCAGGAGCACCTGGTTCACAGGCCAGTGCGCTGCTCCCTCCCTACTCACCCGCAGAGGCAAGTCCTAGGAAGCAGGATCATTTCATTGCTAAATGCCACAGAATGGATCACTCCAATGTAAGAACTTTTTTAAGAAAAAAATAAATAAATAACCACAATACTACTGTGTTTCCCCGAAAATAAGACAGGGTCTTATATTTATTTTTCCTCAAGAAGACACCCTAGGGCTTATTTTCAGGGGATGTGTGTTTTTTTTTAAGTACGGTACAACAATCTACATTTATTCAAATATATTTAAGTCGCCTTATTCTGGAACATCATCATAACTCTCCAAACCCTGGATCCCATCCTGAATTGCTTGCGACTCTGTTTCCTTTAGAACCATTGGCCCCAATCTCTCATGTCGAACACTAGAGCTCTCATTAAATGAGCAGGGCTGGCTTATTTATCAGAGATCCAGTGAGCACTGGGTCCAGTCTGCACAGTGGAGCAGCAATGATCTCTCTGGGCTCAGCAGGAGCCTGCTTGCTGAAGCTTTCCCCTATGCTCTGGTGTCTGTGGGGGACGACAGAGGCCCACAGTGCTGAGTAAAATGGCAGCCACAGCTTTCCTTCTTCTCCCTGGGGACACACAATACCTACAGCAGAGTGTCCTGCTCCTCACTTCACTGAGGAGACTTTCCCCTCAAAGCCTCAGCTTGCAGCACGCACAGGATGGCCGGGACCTGACAGGGGGAGCCGACCTTGTTGGTGGGGCTGCCCACACCTTTCCGGTCACCTCTGGGATAGTAGCTGTCACGATGGGGCAGATGAGAAGGGCTGCTCACCTTCTTTACCTCTTTACCGCTCCTCAACGACATGCATGAGTTGTGCAGATGCGCTGCGTAGCCACGATCATCACTAGGTCTTATTTTCAGGGTAGGGCTTCTATTATGCAAATGCTTAGAAATCCTGCTAGGGCTTATTTTATGGGTAGGGCTTTTTTTTTTTTTTTTTGAGACAGAGTCTCACTCT